GCTCTTGAATAATGAGTGGAAGCATCGAAATTCAATAATTCATAATTATGAGAAAGGAAGAAATATGATCGACAGTAACCTATTTATATCACATTTTGGAGAAAAAAAAACTGTCGCTGTTAGTAATACGAATGGATTGAGTACTTTTGTGTCTTTTGTTTTGCGTATTTTTTTAATTTGTCCGTAAGATGAAAAAGGCGTGTAGGCTTTTAAATCCTCTCTCTGAACGTTTTTGAGCGTGTATGATTATTACTTGACTTCTCGTTGTTCTCTAGTTTCGTGGCAATAAACCATTTCTGATAGTAGGTTTCCAAGTGTTGATCACTTGGTATTACACGTTTGCGCCTTCCGAACTTAGCTCACATTTTCTCCGTTCCTTTTTTCCTCTTCATAGCCCTTTAAAAATCATCGTGACTGTAAGCTAAGTGTGAAGCACCACAATTCAACATAACCGGCTAGTTGAAGTTTAACTAGACTGTTAAAAATAAGCGACGCATAGGATGTCCTTGGGGCATTTTTGATATTTCATCTTGTTGACTGTTAGCTCACTCTTCTGGTCATAATTATTTTAATATGATGCTTGCTTTGTTGCTGATTGTTTCCGGATAATTTCGTTGTGAACTGTCAGTGCATTGTGTGCGCTTGCTGGGTCGTCGATTCACGTTATGTCTTCCTGTACATTCGCAATCGGGAGATTAGTCTCTTTATTATGGGGGAAATTTTATCCGTTTTGGGGAAGCCGCCACCGAAAATTTTGGGGAGATCAAATGAAACCTCTCAAAATTTCCCCAGATCTGGGGAGATCCCCTCACTTTGGGAAGATCATTGGACTTTGGGGATATCCCCAAAATAAGGAGATTGGTTTTCTCATGCAACTCTCTGTGTTAGACGTGCATCGCCTAAGTTTTCGTTATTCCCACACACTTCTCTAATTTGGCAACTTAGTAATTTATCAGAAATAGTTCGTTCGGTGTACAGTTTTAAGCAGATCAACGCAATCTCCCAAGTTTGGGGTATTTCGGGGAAACCCACAAAGTCAAGTGACCTTCACCGAAGTTTGGGAAATTTCTCTAAACCTGGGAAAATTCTGGGGTTTTGGTGCCATTTTTCTAAAGTTTACTATATCGGCTTCCCCAAAATGGGTCAAGTTTTTTTGTAGTTATAATGTAGAGTCGAGTGGTTTTAGGATCAGGAGCCCGAATTATAAAGTTTTGGGGTTCTGAGTTATGTGCGAAGAGTTTTTGGTTTGGTAGTTGCGTTTTCGAAGATTTACAGCTAAACGTTTGGGTCTTTTACCGCGAAAAGTGATATCAAACCTGAAGTTTTTATATTTAGCATCAAGAAGCCCATAAATGGTTCTCGAACGTTCCATCCTTCATACTTCTATCACCTTCCTATATTATAGAGATCTTACACGAAAGCTGCATTTTGGTTGACTAGCCTGAAGCCTGCCCATGACATAATCTTGTTATTACTTTCTCATCATTCCTCCGCTCTAAGACGTGTTTTACAATAATATAATAATTATTATGTAGTAGTGATTTGTAGTGTTATCAAAGAAGTAATGTCGAATGATTTTCTAAGCAATTGAAAGTGTGATAAGTAACTAGGATAGGTAAATTAAAAATAACTATGCCAACCTTAATCATATTTAATGAGAGGATTAACAAATGTCTTGACAAAACGTTGATTCAACAATAGGGTAAAGGAATGAATGTCAAAACTATGCGAAAACACAAAAGCAGAATGAATGTAGGCACATCATAAGGAAAGGGGTAAGTTAAAGTTCGATTGATTCTAGTTCATTGTTCCAAATCATATATATATATATATATATATATATATATATATATATATATATATATATTGGTGCAAGCCTTGGAAACACACTAATTGAAGGTTAGCATTTCTCCGCTCTGTTCGTCTTTTTATGGAGATTAGTTATAATCTCATGCTCTAAGTATAGAAGTCGTCTAGAACTTTTTCTTGTCGCCTAGGTCTCTGACAAGAGTCTTAACTTTTCTCCAGACTCATGATTTTGCTACACGTTGTAACCCCTGTTACTTTGTTTGTGTATAATGATTAATTGTGGACAAAAAGGCTTCACATGTCTGATTATCAGCACCCGTAAAGGACTGTTTACATGTAATGAGATTATTGTATGAGCATCGCTGGCACAAAATTGAGAAAGTAACGAGTTATAACGATTTTTTTTTGTAGTTAGTCACTTGCTCCTCCGGAATCGCACTTAGGTAATTTTTGGACCATGTACTGATGTTCATTATTATTGGTTGGCTAACCTTTCAGCAGTATGCAATAAAGCCGTAAATTGATGACGAATCCGTACAAATACAAAAAAATAAGTTAGCATAATCGAACTTTAAATCTTATAACCCGAATAGCTACTTATGTATTTTCAAATTTTCTCTTGCTGCTTAAACAGTATGGACCAAATAAATGATGGGATCAAAATTTACTAAATTAGATTACACCAAATCACCGTAAAATTCAAAACAATATTTTGTCAAAAAATGTATCTTTATGTCTTGTGTTAAAAAGTTCATTGCTTTTCTTATCTTAGCACTTCAGCTTCTTCTATTGGTTTGAAGATATTTCCATAGGAAGCAATTAATTTATTGCCAGATTTTTTATGCTACGAACGTTCTACTGTAGCCTGTCAACCATGAACAACCAACTGAAAATTAGCCGTAAGTGTTAGCATATGCTTCTGCTAATTGTGTCTTTAATTTTAGATTTACGAGTTCCATATAGAAAATCCAATGATATATTCGATATTATAAATTTAAAGTACAAAGATCCTTTACTTTTGTTTAAGTCGTGGTTTGAAGAAGCTATCAATGTGAAATGTTTTTGAACCTAATGCAATGGCTCTTGCAACGTGTAGCAAGTAAGTTACTGCGATATTTGTTTTTCTCATATTATATCAATAAGTTACACTTCCATTGTACAAGAAATGTAGTCAGAGATTAATTGAAAATTATTTTGTTCTGATTTCATTGCATACAATTATGAGTGAGTACACATCCGTACCCAAAAGCAATGTTAACTTTTAGCGCGGTTATGAAGAAATAGTAAATCATGTGCCAATTGTTCAGAAATGTTAGATTCAACAAATAGTCATTTATTTGCTGAATATATAACAGTAGCATATGGTCAATCATGTACAGTTTTAAGTTGGAAGTCAGTAACCATAGAAGTATATCTTTATTATTTGACGTGTTATAAATTTATGGCTCTTCCCTAGTTGATGGAAGTATACTTGGCTTGATGGACTATCTAGGACCTTTTTCTAATATATTGTAATCGTTAGAAAATATCCGATGTTTGAAACGGTTATATATATTCGTAGGAAATATTCATATGTCAGTGAGTCGTAATGGAATTTATGAAAACTCAAGATGTTCAGTTTATCTTTGATGATGTTAGTGTTTAAGCATTCATGTTGTAACTCTGTCAACTAACTGATAGTGGCTATTATAGTAAGTTCTCAAAAGTGGTCATCACAAGATATCGAATGCATTTAAGAGGGAATTATAGCATTTGTTGTTAATAACTAGCATTGAACGTAGTTATGGACCGTCAGTCTGTATATTACTGGATTATAGGCCGTTGGTTTACTGATATAGAAATTATAGAAAACATTTCTAGCAACAATCAATGTTGGCTGAAATTTCTCTTTGATCTTAGCGCAATCTTTTTCCCATACATTGATTAACTTTAATGAAAAGTACTAAACATTTGAGACATTAAAAAGAAGAATATATTTGTAAAATCTCAGCGAATGAATTTTAAGTAAATCCAACGTTTCGCCTGGCAATCTGGTCCAAGCTTTTTCAAGGAAAATATATTAACTCGGCGCCCAAATATTGTGAAACTATTCGTTCAAATTTAGACGAAAGTTCTTATTTAGTACTAAACATTTGTTTTTGTAGACTTGTTGTTCAAAATAGCTCTTAAATTAAACGTACTATTCTGACATGTTTTTATCAAATTAAAGAGGAAGAATTCGAATTAGCGAACGGTTGATTAGGGTTGCAAATCAGAACAATTGAATAAATCAGCATGGCCATCAGACAAATCAAGAGTGGAAAAGCAGCATGACCGGACAACATCCCAGCAGACGCACTAAAAGCAGACGTAGCGGCAACTGCAAGGATACTCCACATTCTCTTCAGCAAAATTTGGGATGAGAAAGAAGTACCAACAGACTGGAAAGAAGGACTTCTGGTCAAAATACCAAAGAAAGGCGATCTCAATAACTGTGATAACTACAGGGGCATCACTCTTCTCTCAATACCGGGAAAAGTCTTCAACAGGGTATTGTTAAACAGAATGAAGGACTGCGTAGACGCCCAACTTCGTGACCAACAGGCAGGATTCCGTAAGGATAGATCGCGTACAGACCAAATCGCAACTGTACGGATCATTGTGGAACAATCATTTGAATGGAATTCATCACTCTACATCAACTTCATTGACTACGGAAAAGCATTTCATAGCGTGGACAGAACAACACTATGGAAGCTTCTTCGACACTACGGCGTTCCTCAGAAGATAGTCAATATCATACAGAATTCCTATGATGGATTAAACTGCAAAATTGTGCATGGAGGACAGTTGACAAAGTCGTTCGAAGTGAAGACCGGTGTCAGGCAAGGTTGCTTACTCTCACCCTTTCTCTTTCTCATGGTGGTCGACTGGATCACGAAGACGTCAACATCTGAAAGGAAGCACGGAATACAATGGACATCTAGGATGCAGTTAGACGATCTAGACTTCGCAGATGATCTGGCCCTTCTATCCCAGACGCAACAACAAATGCAGGAGAAAACGAACAGTGTGGCAGCAGCCTCAGCAGCAGTAGGTCTCAATATACACAAAGGGAAAAGCAAGATTCTCCGATACAACACAGCATGCACCAATTCAATCAAAATTGACGGAGAAGATTTGGAAGATGTGAAAACATTTACATATTTGGGCAGCATCATTGATGAACAGGGTGGATCTGATGCAGATGTGAAGGCGCGGATCACCAAAGCAAGAGCAGCATATCTACAACTGAAGAAAATCTGGAACTCAAAGCAACTGTCAACCAACACCAAAGTCGGAATTTTCAGTACAAATGTCAAGACAGTTCTACTATATGAGGCGGGAACCTGGAGAACTACGAAAGCCATCATCCAGAAGATACGGGCGTTTATTAACAGCTGTCTACGCAAAATACTTCGGATCCGTTGGCCGGACACTATTAGCAACAACGTACTGTGGGAGAGAACAAACCAGATCCCAGTTGAGGAAGAAATCAGGAAGAAGCGCTGGAAGTGGATAGGACACACATTGAGGAAAGCACCCAACTGCGTCACAAGACAAGCCCTCACATGGAATCCTGAAGGCCAAAGAACACATTACGCCGAGAAATGGAAATAGACATGAGAAAAATGAACAAGAATTGGATGGAACTAGAAAAGAACGCCCAGGAAAGAGTGGGTTGGAGAATGCTGGTCAGCGGCCTATGCTCCATTGGGAGTAACAGGCGTAAGTAAGTAAGTAAGTAAGTAATTATTAGAAGATAAAACAGCTAAATACACTAATCCATAGATACATTTAAAAAATAAAGCTATATTATTTTACGATTATTCAATATCATTTTTTTCTGGTGCTTCCAGGTTACTCCATTAGTTTTTTCTAAGGTTGAATGATAGCTATATCCTAGAAAATCCAGTAAAAATTGTTTAAACCCCTCGTTTGTGTAAATGGGTGTTCAGAAAAAAAACGTGTTATCGATGACGTCTATTCACTTCTTTTGAAAATTTTTTTTCTGAAATCTTTCATACAGTTTGGTATTCCAACTAGTTTGGTCTGAAATTCTCGCCATTCAAAGTCGTTTGTCTATCCTGTTACTTAGACTTATGCTCACTAACTTCAGAGATTCAAAGATTGGTGGGGAAAGTAAATGCAATTTCATCACATAATATATACCCATGGTGTTTTTAAAAGAAATGTCGATTAATTTCTTATATCAAGCTGTTATGTAGACTTACATCTGCTGCTCTTCGTGGAGCATTGGTCACCGACCAGTTATTTGGAAATGAATATGAAATCAAAAATATATACTTATATAAAGCTCCATTTATTACCAGGATAATTTTTATATTAAACCATAAATACAGGTTCCACTGTGAAATGAGACTAAATTTTGCGTAATTTTAATAGGGATTTACCTAAAATGTTCCCATAAAATTATTTCTTATAAACAGAATTGTGGAGATACTTCACATTAATTAAACCAAGAACATTGTTACACAAATACTGGTGAAGATTTTAACACTCAAAGAACTATCATAAGGTATTGTATAAAAGTGTTAATTTTTCATTCACAGTTGATTCAATGCTTTTATTTCTTCATACTCGTCTTATTAATCAATTTACATCAAAACTTTTCTTGTCAGACAGTGTATTCCAAGTGTACGGTTTGTTCTTTTGAAAGAATTGGATGAAAATGGATTTCACTTTTTCACTAATTATAATAGCAGAAAAGCTCAAGAGCTTGATAGTAATCCAAATGCAAGTCTTGTTTTTTATTGGGAACCTCTTAAACGTCAGGTAAGAACAGTTGATCAATTAGAAATCTTTAAGCCGAATCTTAAATTCCCTTTTAAGTAATGGTGACCAAATGATTTGTCCATTTAACTGGTCTAAAACTTTAGATCATCAAGCTCATAATGTATTATTTACCTGGACACAAACATTGGTGCAAGAGGCACCAGATACATATGCGCTACACAATAACAAAGAGATTGTAAGGTGATAGAGAAAGGAAGATGAGTATAATAAAATAGAGCAAAACGGAATAAAAATTAGTGCACTCGAGTGAAGTAATAATGATAATAGTGGTTGGAGACAGCTCAGTTGGCAAAAATACAACCAGAAAAAGTTCTTTCAATTAAAGAAGATACGTTCATTCTTATGAAGAAAGTAAAAGAATGTCACGGCAGGATCGCCCCTGGATTCTATTCTGAGTCATATCTGATAACGTCTCTAGCCACTGTATTGGATCACCTCTAGGACCCCAATCAGGGTGTCGTGAGGGACCAACAGCAGCTTTCTTTCATACCACGACACCATGTCATACACTGACCATCTCTCCGTCTTTTCCAACGGGTCCCAGAGTCGGCAAATAATGTACTATGTGGAAGTCTGTACGCAGACATTCGTAAAACATGTTCAAGCCACCGAACTCGATGTTTCACGAAAGTGACAACAATTGAATCATCATCGCTGTGTCCGAACACACGATGAAGAACCTCTGCATTACTAAAATAGTGTTGCTACTGGATGTTAGCAATCCTTTGAAGACGACGGTAATCAAACACATAGTTGTCTAACATCTTCAACTCGGAGAGTTCAGGTAGCATAGTAGGACAATATCATCCGCATACTCAAGATTAAAAATTCCTCCAGGCAACAGCAAAAGAATAAGGCTTTTAATTTGTCTGAATTTTCGTTAGATAGTAACTGAAATTGATTACAAATTGGATTCAGGTGTAGCGTTACGTTGTAGTTTAAGTAATTTTTTATGCTATCACAGGATCAAAACCTGGTGAACATCGCTCTCAAAAATTTAGTTTTTATTCATTGAATTGACTTTTATTGTTCTTTTAGATTTACATATATATCAAAGAAGTTTTGATCACCAATTAATGATACACTATAAAATAAATGCAATTGATTAATTATATTTAAAACAGTCAGTAATCACGATTATTTGAATCACTTGATTCTTTATTTAAGGAGTTAAATCGACCCTGATAAACGACTGGTAGTCTACAAAATTTCAACATGAATACAAAAGGTTCTTTTAGCACTCATCAACATATATGGTTGGTGAGTTGGATCCCTGACTACATGCCGAAAGATGAATTTATCTATTGGTATTTCTTAATTTTAGTTTGCATCTCTTGAGACTTACTCATTAAGGATGAAAGTTATGCGTAATTCATAGGTATTTGATCATTACTCACTTCGTCTGTAAACACTAAATGGTAAATTTGGGGGTAATGAAAATTCATATGATCATCCAATCAGAAGTAGCCAAATTAGGTCAGTCAATGGCAATTAGTAGTGATCTGAAAGACTAGTGCATTTCATTGGCTAAGAAATGGATTGATTTCCTGGGGGGAGTAGAGTTATATATATATGAATGAGTGGCTGTGCATTTTTTGGTAGCACAATGTTTTTTATCGTCCAGTCTCGTGTTCTCGCTCGAGTAGTCAGTCGGGGGGGGGGTAGCTCGTCGTGTATCAGTATCAGATTTCGGACACTTACCGTCACAACAAAAATATGGTAATTATTAGTGTCACTTTTTTGGAAGGATAAGTATCTGTTCTAAAACATTTCTAATGTTCTTTAGAACCACAATTGCAATCTATATGAAGATGAAAATTTCTACCAAATGTACAAGGTGATAAATCTTCAATTGATGTGCACAACAAAAAGATATGACGTTCTTAGACTGATTTATTACATGTCATATTTTAGACATACATATGAAATATGTTAGAAATGTTGAATTTGGTTTTTATCACAATTTGATCAGTCAGAATATTAAGTCTCACTGAATAGCCTATCGGTAATTGATTGGATGTCAGCATGATCAGTGGATCTTGACTAGGGTCTTTTTCATTTGAAAATTTTATTGGCTGTTGAGTTTTGTGACACTGCCCATGTATACAAGCCGCACTAATTGTACAGGATAATTAAAGTTTATATATATAATACCACAATGAATTAGTTGTGGATATTGTAATGAATAAAAAATTATTCTAGTTACCAATATATTTGCGATCTTATTTGGTTGCATAAACTATTAGCGTCTGTTATACTATAACATTCTCAACCAGTGCTACTCATGGTGTAGGCGAGATACCTGTTTTCCAACAAAGGTGCGAGTATGCTAGGTGGAAGTTAGTTTTGTTCTGCTATATGGCTGTGGAAGTCGGCCTTTAAAAATAGGATATTCGTAGGTTATTAGTATTCAAAATACTCTCGGATTCAACTTCTCAATTTCCGTTGTTGTTAACAGGGATAGTTGACAGGATATCTATGAAGTAAATAAGGCTTTATATTTCGTTATCGCCTATCTTCATATTCGAGTCAACAAGATGCCTCGGGAGAAAATACATTCACGCTTTGTCTTCTTTTAAATTCTGAGTTCTAAATCTAGTTTATACTGTTTTGTTTCGCAAATTAGTTCTTTCTTCCCGAATAGTTCAGTCCTTTCCTAATGTTTTAAACTATCACTAATACTTTTACTTCTACTACTAAGGTATTTATCCTAATAATCTTTCTGATGTGCCGATATGATTTCACAACTTCAACTAATGAACATATGTTCGATGTTCTATGTTAATTATGATTGATAAACTGACAAACTGTCAACATATTAGCATCATTATGGAAATATCGAAATTGGATTGACACGAACAATGTTTCAGATGTCTATAATGTATATTCTTCTTTCTGAATCCTATGTATTGTTTCAGCTGTATTCTTTCCTACGAGATAGGTTATTGTGTCAAAAAAGCATTTGGTGAGATTTCAGAAAATTCCGGTTAAATCGCAGCCTACTATTAAAGCATATATACTATGCTGGACATTTTGTTTTACCTTTGTTGTGTCTAGTACTGTGCCAAGCCCATCTGGGTTATTATGGCTTCGGGAAAAACTGATTTGTCCATTCTTCTTGATTCACATTCTGACCTTGTCAATTATCCGCTTACAACCTTAACTTCTCATCTAAGCTTATGTTTGTGTGCGTATTGCTTACCCTATCCATCACATGTCTTTGGTTTATTTTTGGTTGAAATATTAAGTCACGCCTCGTTAAAACTAATTGACTTACTCGCCTTCACCGTCTCACTTTCTCACTTTTCATTCTAAATATCTGTCTGAATAAATTAATGCTTGAAATAAACTCATCCAACCCAACGCGTATTTGGCTTCTTTATTACCACGGTCACACAAACGGGGTTAGCCTAGGTGTAGTATACGAAGTTAAGTAGAAGACTTATACTCATTAAATATCCATTCGTTCCTTGAAATTGGAGTCAGATCAACAGGCCACTAAACGTGCTTGTTATTGACATGTGTTACAACAGGTAGAAATGAAAGACCGTTAGTAATATTCGTTTTTATCCGTCAGTGATCACTTTTTATCTGTCAAATAGTTCATAGTCATACTATTATGTTTGAATGTTCGGTGCATAAACAATGGCTTTAATTCCTTGATGCATATTCAATTCATTTAATCATATTATTGTAACAAATAGATTGAATGCTTATTACAATGAATGCATATTTTTATTTACACGGAGATAAATGACTTGGTCGATTCGAGTGTGAATGACATGAACTTAATTATCTGTGACATGTAAACTCATTCTAATGAGGATCAAGGAGGCAATCACTTCAACATATCATGAGGTTTTGGGTCACAAGAAGCACCATCACAAGGAATGCATCACGGTTGACACACTATATAAGATTCAAGAAAGGAGGAATATAGCAATCAATATCAACCGAACAAGAGCAGAGAAAGCCAAGACACAAGCTAAATACACAGAAGTAAACAAGCAAGTGAAGAGGAACATCAGAGCCAACAAACGTAAATATGTGGAAGATCTAGCAATGATGATGGAAAAGGCTGCAAGAAAACAAAACCTGAGACAATAGTGTGATACAACAAAGAAGCTCGCTGGAAATTACTGTAAACTAGAACAACCAGTGAAAAGCAAGGAAGGCAAAGTAATCACCAACGTTGAAGAACAGCGAAACATGTGGGTAGAGCACTTCAAGGAACTCTTGAATCGACCAGCTCCACTGAACCCACCCAACATCCCCGCTTGGAATCCTTAGGGCCAAAGGAAAAGAGGGAGAAAAAAGGACACTTTACACTAAAAAATGGAGACAGATGTGAGGAGAATGAACAAAAATAAATAGAACTAGAAAAAAAGGACCAGGACAGAGTGGGTTGAAGAATGTTGGTCGGCGACCTATGCTCCATTGGGAGTAACAGGCGTAAGTAACTAAATATTAAATTAGTCATATCCGTTGGTTATAGATGCTTCATTGTGTGAGATTGTAGATGTGTTCACACAGTAAGTTACTGATTCATTAGTGTTAAATGTTACTCATTTTAATTCATACGAGTCTGACGGTTAAATCATATAAAAGTTGGTATATTTTTATATCGTTTTGATTTCTTTTAGAGGCCAAATCATTTAAACATCCCGCAGTCAGAACAGAATCAAACATGACACTTGTCAACTCATTCTTTAAAATAACCTAGGAGAAAACTAATTGTAGATATAGTGAAATGTGGTTTAAAATATATTATTTGCTTTCTTCAATATTAAAGTTCTCAGATTTTGGTAAACTTTCATTCTCTGAGTTAGGTAACTTGATTCAATGAAAGTTCACCAAAATCATCTACCTGAAATAAAAATATTCCCTACCATCTTGAGGCCCGTAGAGTATACTGTAAAAGAATTATTTTGGGAAATTACTAACGTCTTAACAGTAAGTACAAAATTACCACGAGATTGGTAGTTACGGTTCACTAATGTTTTAAAAATGACGTTTTATGTATTGTAACTTAATGTGCTTTCTATCAAAAATGTTGCTAGATACATTCTTCCAAATTATATTTTTTGAGTAGGTACGTGTGGAAGGCGTTGTTTCACGTGCTTCAGAGGTAGAGAATGAAGAATATTTTCAGTCCCGCCCGAAGGCTAGTCAAATTTCTGCTACAGTTAGTTCACAAAGTGAACCAATTCCTTGTCGTGAAGTAAGTTAAATATCTGAAATGAATAGAGTATCTTACTGAAAGTTTGTGTTTGATTGTATTCAAGCGCTCTTCATCTACACATACTAAAGAATCTTTCCTCATAGATGTAAACTTCATATTTTGACTGTGAATTTTGATTATCTCAATAAACATAGCATTTCTAATCTGTTGATGTGGTACCAATTCGATTTTAACTGCAGAACTTAGTACATATACTTCTTGTACTTTGTATGTAGTAAGTGGTGAAATAGATGATGGGCGTGATTAATCTAAGTGAAATCAACATGAATCGGACATTATTTGGATTAACAAATTTTCTTCTCACTTCAATATATATATGTGGATTCCTACGATATCTTTCTAATCGAACGCAACTTTTATGTTCATACAAGTAAGAGACCTAAACTTTTATGGAAATATTTCTTGATAATAACTGTAATCTAGAACTTGTTAAGATTCATAAATTACTTAAAGCTCAGATGATTCTGACAGATTAATCTTTAAATTGTCTGGAAGGAGCATGTAAATAAATCCCCATGATGTAAATCTGTGTTTATGTCAACTAACCTCAACTACTCAATCTTCATGCTATGTATTTTATTCATTACAAATAAACATATCAAAACAACAATTTGGAACTTCTCGAATCGTTACTACATCTTTGTACATCAACTATGAATCTTTTTATGATCTCTTAACCAACATACCATGCACAGATAAACTGTATGTAGGCGTATGCGACCTCTTGTTCAACCACCTCATTTTTTATACGTGTTCAATCAGCTTATTTACTACAGAAACTTTAAACCTTACACTTCATTCGTTTTTCACCACTTCTTCCTCAATGTTATTTGTTCATGTGGTAGGATTCTTAATGTCAGAGTGCAATATATAAGTAGTCATTTACATTTCTTCGACTATTTTTTCATCTGACTACATCACATCGAATTGGTTCACAACGTCTTGAGATAATAGTATAGTTTTTTTCTCGCTTCAAATAGTTTCTGGACAAAAAGTACGTAGAATTAGAAAATGAATATGCTGCGAGAGAAAAGCTTCCAAAGCCTTCAAATTGGTACGTTCCTAATATATACCTTTATGAATTAGCTATTTACGTCTAGTGGGTATCATATCATTATCTACCTATATTTTCAATATCAGAAGACTAATTAACTCAGTTATTTCTGTTATGGTACATGATACCCAACATTCAGATTTGTAGTCTTACCCGATCGAAGCTGCTACCTTGACGCGGTGGTCGGGCTTGCCTATCGTGATGACCCAACCGAGCTATATTGGCTGGAACATATGTTCCTGTAGGTTCTACCATGCCAGGCAGGTCGATTGGTGAACGGTAAGACTAAAAGCAGCAACTCAAGGTCTGAGGGCGAAGTCGTACTGCTGACTGTAGAGGGTGTGACAGCAGTAAGGTGTTTCCCTCGGACAACCAGCATGACAGCGATGCTGCCTTCCCACAAGGAGGGGTGGGGTTAGAAAAGGTCGACCCTAAAAATGTCACACCTCACCTTACCTCACGGATTTCCGTCTCCGGCGGTAAGGCCCTTTGAAGAACGGAGCTAACACGTCAAAAACCTTCCACAAAAAGGCCGTGCGCGACCGGCCTCAAGCAGTTGTCCCTTGGGCTCTGCGGTCACGCTCCCAGGTCGTCAAGACCAACACTAATCCAATTTCCTTTTCAGGTTCCTCAAGAAATACCCTTCCACGGTGTGGGCAGCCGGGAAGTGACATCAGCCCTCATACCCGTAACAGCACAAGAGACCAAGGTGGTCACATTCAAATCCTTCCTACACCTCCTAATACCTCTCTTATCTCCATGACTAACCCTCCTCACGTCTCTTTATCACCTCGCACCGCTAGGGCAAACGATTCGAGTACGTGGAACGCCATTCCTGGTCTCCTGAAACCACGCTCTAAACTACACGTAGGAGCTTTTAACGTACGAACACTTTGCCAAATAGGACAGCAGGCTTCCTTAGCTAAAACTTTAGAATCTCGCGCCATCGATGTGTGCTGCGTCTCCGAAACGCGCATACAGGATCCGAGTAGCGTCATTCATTTGACCTCACCATGCCAAAATAAAGAACCGACTCGATTTACGCTTCGTGTATCTGGAAGCCCTGATTCTGCTTCCCGTGGCCTCGCCGGCGTAGGTATAGCATTGAGTCCTAGGGCAGAACTAGCTCTCTTAGAGTGGATCCCAGTAGACAGTCGTTTGTGCGCTGTCCGACTGAACGGAACAGTAAGAATCCGGAAAGATAGGGACACTCGTCGTTGCCTCTTCGTCGTCTCTGCCTATTCTCCCACTGACTGCAGCTCAGATGATGTAAAAGATGAGTTTTACAGAAAGCTTTCGGACCTTCTCCGAAAAGCTAGCGCTCGGATGTAGTAATAGTGGCCGGTGACTTTAATGCTCAAGTAGGTAAACTAAGCGATAGGGAAAGACACCTAGGTGGATCTTATGGTGTCGTGGCTCAAAGAACAGATAATGGCGACCGTCTGTTGCAGCTATGCTCAGATAACCGCCTGTTCCTTGCAAATACTAACTTTAAGCATAAGGAAAAACATCTTTTAACATGGCGACCCCCTAATTCGTCCCAACGTTGGACCCAAATAGATCACATCGCTATCAGCCACCGATGGAGGGGCTCGATAGAAGACTGTCGCTCATTCTGGAGCACATGCCTAGATTCAGATCATGCTCTAGTGCGAGCGCGTATTTGCTTGCGTCTTACTGGACGTAGGAAAGACGCTGCAAGGAAACCTCTTAGGGCCTACTTAATGATAGTCAAGCTAAGAGTATATTTCAGGAACAACTAGGAAAACAGTTAGGCAGCCATGTATGTGATGCCCACCCCGATGCAGCATGGAATGATATCCGAAAAGCTGTGGAAACAGCAGTGATATCTGCTAGTAAGGTAAACCAGAAGGTTAGGGAGCAACACTGGATCTCAGCAGCATCTATCGCACTGATAGATGCTCGGAAACTCATTCCACCTGGCTCTGAACATAATGAAGAGCGGAGTCAGCTTAAGCGCAAGCTGACAAGAAGTCTACGCAATGATCGCGAACAGTGGTGGGTAGCGAAAGCAAGAGAGATGGAAAAGGCAGCGGCAATAGGTAATAGCAGACAATTGTTCAGACTCGTTAAGGAAACCGGAATTAGGAACCCGACCGTTAGCGAAACAATCTCAGAGAAAGATGGACATATTATTCATTCTCAATCCAGGAGATTGGATCGATGGGCAGAACACTTTAGGGATCAGTTCAACTGGCCTTCAGCCACACTTCGGTTTCCCACGATCTCTAGTCAACCTGAATGGCAAGTTAATGTAGGTCCTCCGTCCCTTTACGAAGTTGAAAAAGCCATAGGAAATCTGAAACGAGGGAGAGCAGCAGGCCCTGACAGGTTTACTCCTGAGATTTTTAAGGATGGTGGTCCAGTATTAGCAATGAGATTAACTGAGGTCTTAGGTAGAATTTGGGAACTGGACGTAATCCCATCTGACTGGTCTCAATCACTGATTGTGCCAGTCTATAAGAAAGGACAAAAGTCCTCTTGTGACAATCACAGAGGAATCAGTTTGACTAATATAGTGTCTAAAATATTAGCTTCAATAATACTTCGACGCCTAATCAAAGCTCGTGAAGAGCAGATTAGAGAAAACCAGGCCGGTTTTCGACCTGGACGTGGTTGTATAGATCAGATATTCACACTACGTCAGGTTCTAGAACACAGACACACATTCAGACGCCCCACAATGGTAGTATTTCTCGACCTTAAGGCGGCATTCGACTCTGTTGATCGTGAGGTTCTATGGCAGTGTTTGTCACTGAAAGGAGTACCAAAGAAGTACATTAACCTTATAAAGGCTCTCTACTCGAACACAACTGGTAGAGTGAGAGCTTATGGCGAACTGTCATCAGAATTGATTACCTCAAGTGGTGTTCGTCAGGGCTGTCCACTCTCCCCATTCTTGTTCAACTTTGTGGTCGACGTACTTTTAGAGATAACACTCTCCTCATCTAAATTTCCAGGGGTTGAACTTCTACCGGGAGGTTCACTTGTTGACTTAGAATATGCTGATGACATAGTTTTATTTGGTGAAGACGCTGACAAAATGCAGAGTCTTCTGACCACTCTAAGCAACAATGCAAGCATGTTCGGGATGCGATTCTCTCCCTCGAAATGCAAAATGTTGCTTCAGGATTGGGTTACATCGACACCCGAACTAGTGATAGGGAGTGAAGTAGTTGAGTGTGTCGACCGCTTCACTTATCTTGGAAGTCTCATCAGCCCTTGTGGTTTAGTGTGTGACGAAATCTCAGCACGGATACAGAAGGCTCGACTAGCTTTTGCCAACTTGCGTCATTTATGGCGTAGGCGAGATATCCGTCTATCAACCAAAGGACGTGTTTACTGCGCAGCAGTTCGTTCCGTCCTACTTTATGGCAGTGAAACATGGCCGGTAAGAGTAGAGGATATTCGTAGGTTACTAGTATTTGATCATAGGTGTCTTCGAAATATTGCTCGTATATCATGGGACCATCGAGTAAGTAACACAGTTGTTAGGAAACGGGTACTAGGTAAGGATGGCAAATCAATTGATGAAGTAGTGAAACTTCATCAGTTGAGATGGCTGGGACACGTGTTACGTATGCCCAACGACCGACTGCCTCGACGTGCTATGTTCAGTGGTATAGGAGTAGGTTGGAAGAAAGCTAGGGGCGGCCAAACCAAAACATGGCACAAGTCCATGAAGTCACTGACAAGTGGACTGAGTCATGTTGGTAGGTGTAGACTACCTGGTTGGGGACCGCGAGATGATAGCAACCGATGGTTAGAGACCCTGAATGACATGGCTCAAAATCGTTTGCAATGGCGCAGGTGCATCCACTCTCTGTGTTCTCCCAAATTCTAATCTTCTGAATCCTTCATGTCCCTTTTTTCCTCTTTCCAAATTTATTTCACTGGATTATACTCTTTAAATAACATCTCCAAACCCTAATCTTCCCGATTACTGCTTATACTCTTGCTACCTCTACCACTACGGGATTTGAATCGACAACTGCATCTCTGTGCTAATGTGGTGTGGCAACTCGAACTGATGTACATATGTACGAAGTTCTACGTTGTTACTGACTGACTGAGTCTTACATGTCAAAAAAGGTACTAATTGTTTAAGTATCTTTCCTATTTACAAATTAGTCAAAGGAAAAAGGTTTTTCTTTCTAGTTAGTTCGTGGTCATAGCTCTTCACAAATATATTGGTTTACGGTTAAGTATAAAATCCATATCAAATAAATGGTGAAAATTCATACCATCTCAATATGAATGAATAATGTTACTTGTAAAATTGATGTTAGGTAACTAATGAAGCTTGTGCCAAAAATTAGATAATCAGCTTATAAAGGCAAGTTACACAAGAATAAAACCAGGAAATAAAATTGAATCGGCATTGAAAAGATTAAAAATCTTTCTTGAGAAATGTAAAAGTGACTAAGTAGAAGGCTAAGGTAGATTAAGAAGCCATAAAAGCGTCTCCTGTATGCAGAAGATTAGGTTTGTTCATGTGTATTTCTATGGCTTCTGCTGTATGTAGGAGTTTTAGTTTTGAGTTCAGTAGAACTCTGTTGATAACTTTAAGAGTTGAAATACTGACATGACAGCTAGTATCGACTAAACGTAGTAGATTATGGCTTCTTATTGTTTTCTATTATCCTTTGATCCACCATAAAGAGTGATCAGAAATACGGTGATGAATTCATCTGGCTGTACAACCTATATCACATAAACAACAACAAAATTAAGCATATATAAAAACCGATTTAGTTATTTGCTCGTTACTAATTTTACGAGTAACACGATAGATTCATATTCAGTTGGTAAATTTTAAACTTATTCATTTTCTATTCTTAGGTAATTTGTTGTAATGATTAGCCAATTATGTGGTTTCACAAACTTTATATTGAGTCTGTTGATCAATCAAGTAATGACTATGCTAAAAAAACAGTAGATTTGGACCCTACGATTCTTAAGTTTCTCCATGAGTGCAGGTAGTTTTCACTAATTAACACCAATGAGCTTAAAATGCTGACCTGTAGCTGCTACTGAGTTAAACGATGGCTGATTATGTTGACCACTTGTTATTACAGCTATTCATCGTAAAATATAAAACCTACTTCTGCATTTATATCTTTTATATGCGTGGATTTCGCTACTAAAGACATTAAGTTATGGTATATTAGCGTGCATCTCAACATTTTCAGCAATTATTAGTCAGTTTGGCTCAGTCAGTCACAACGTTGGTTTGGCTATAATGGATTGTTCCTGTTTTGATTATGGGATGTGGCGTTTCTATAAAACCAAGTTGGTAACACTGAAGTTAGATGTAGTTACTAGGTAAAGATCACAAACCGTCTGACGGTGTTGTGAACTTTCATTCACTGAGGTTTCAGAAATGTAGAAGAACATTGGCTACCACGACAGGCTAAATGAAGCCAAATTAATCGTTGACTATTTTACAGAACCGCAACCTATGACTACATACCGTAGTTGACACTAGACGAAATCGTTTGCACTGGCAAGTTTCCGTTCATTCTTCATCTTTCTCCAGATCTTGCGTTTTAACATTATTTCACGGTATTTGTCTTTCAATTTCATTTTTACAGACTAAATTCTATATGTTTAGCTTTTACTATCGCTGATAATACTATTATTATTTCGAACCGTATGACTTTCATAGTGTAGTTGTGTGCATCCTATTTTCATGTGACAAATTGTACCGATCCACGTTTCTACAAGATAACACATTGTTGATAACGTTGGAAAAAATCTATTATTTATATCTTACTAGGGGAGGATATATTCTGTCTCCGAAATCAATTGAGTTTTGGCAAGGTCAAACAAACAGACTGCATGATCGTATTAGATTTCGTCGTTGTGATCAAATTCCAGAAATAAATGGATCTGACCTAGTACATGTTGGAGAAAATGGTTGGGTATACGAACGACTAGCTCCATAGAAGTTTGCTGTTTTTGTGCACGAATTTGTTTTATATGAGAAGTTTAGTTTCCTGCCATTTCTTGTAATAATCATACATATAGTCAATAAAATATTCGCTGTAATTTTTAAAATGATAAATGCAATCGCTTTCTCTGAGGTTTATGAACTACTAATATCTTGGAGGATATTAAGTTCCCAAAGACAATTTAGTAATAACAAATTAAATGAAGGATCTTGTACTGATTTAATTGTGAGTTTTGTATTGATTCAGTGTAATTTCCATTAATTTGACTTCTGGTCAAATTCAATTAAATATTTTCTTATTATAATTAGTGCGAAGCGATTTTTCGTTCCCTTGACTTATGTTCATTATGATATAACGAAGAGGTAGGGAAGAAAAGGACATAACTAGTCTCTTTCATAGCTATTAATATCGGAGGTGTGAATTATTAGCTTAGTGTACGATCGTATTATAACTAGAATTACTGTGCAAAGAAATAGAGAAGAGTTAATATGCCATCAACCAAACGTATTTCATGATAAGTCAATAGCTTAATAAAGATGATATACATACAACCTGGTAAGAACAGATTAAAGCGATGGAAAAAACCCAGTGAATTGATTACCACCCGCAAACTATATACACTGCATTGCTATTCAATAGTTTCTCAATTTAAAATAGATAAATCAAAATACATAACCATGCAATTACATACGTGTTAAGATGTGCAGAAAAATATACCAATAATTATCATGTTAAGTCTAATGGTGTCCTTGGACGTTAAATGAACATCCCATATCGGTCAGTATTTATTTCACTTGTTAAATATTGTACAAATGTTGTTTTCTATTTTATGGTACGATGTGGTTTGTTTGATTGGTATATAAACAGAGTATGTCTGAAATATAATGATTCATAACTCAGAGGCTGAGACTTGTGTTCTGGACTCAACTGGCTGGCTAGACAGCGAAGCAGGGCCAATCGGGACTCCAGGTCGTTCGTGCGTGTGTTTACGTGTCATTATTCCGATCGATAAGTCGCTGCTCCATAATCAGCATTTACCCGTTACAACAATACGTGCTACCTAAATCTTATTTATTAAGTCGGAGATTACCAGTAGTCTATTCTATGTAGACTACTTGTAAAAGCCTATCAAAACTTATGCACATATATACCTGATTGGGTCTAGCTATATTAAGTGCCAACATTTAAAAGTGGTGATCGATTAGAGGGAACGTTAATTTGTAATATCATACGGTCTAAATAATTCTACTGTATACTTTATTTCCTGGTCAGAGCAATCGATACAGATTAACCAACTACATCTACCACTATGCGATTTGAATGGACAATTGTATCTCTGTGTTAATGTTGTATGGCAACTAGAAATGATGTACGTACGTACGAAGTTGTTGACTAACATATATGAACTAGTAAGAAGGACTTGACACATATGACATTGATCACCACTCAGTGGTCAATCAATTGTGATTACATCTCAGTCGTGCATGAGGTCGGTCACGGCCCGGATAGCCTAGTGGTAGCATCTCTGACTGTGAAGCTGGGTGACAAGGGATCGAGTCCGTCAGGAAGCACCAGTTCCATCAAGATTACAGGTACACCTTGCTGACGAGTGCCAAGCAGCACGAAACCCGAGTCCAGGGTTTCCTGTTGACTACCTCCAATCACCATCTAATCTCAACATAGTGCACGTAATGTCGAGTCACCTAGACTAGTAGCCACAGTGCAACTTGGTCGATAGCATTCGATCTGCACTAAGAAGGACTTGACACACATGACATTGATCACCATCTAGTGGTTAGTCAATTGTGATTATATGAACTAGTATTCTTGCTAAGTTAAGCATTATTTATTTATATTTTAACAGAACAATCTGTTTGTCATCATAAAACTAATTCAATTAGTCATATAAATGCGATTGCAGATGAGAATATGAATGAAACGTTTACTAGAAAGAATTTGAATCAAAAAAAGTAGTGCTGTATAGAAAGTTTAAAATAATCACATTGTCATTTAATGAACTATTATCAAGTATCGTAGAGATTTATGTTTTTAAAAAAAGAATCTGAATGTAACTATAGAACAGAATAAAAGTATTAATGATTCAGAAATTTGTTTTAAATGCTTTTGATAAAATTTGAGAAGTTAAAATGCAAAAACAAAAAGTATTTTCAATAGTTGAAATCATGAGTCAATTGAAGATAGACCACCATGGAAAACCTGGAAGCACTGAACGGCCGTTTCGTCCTAGTATGGGACTCCTCAGCAGTGTGAATCTACGATCCCGCCCCCCGCGGATGAGTCCCATACTATGGTCGTCCAGTACTTCCAGGTTTTAAATGGTGGTCTAACTTCAGTTGACTCATGTTTTCAATTATTGAAATTTCTAAAATCTCCACAAAACCCCTTCAGATAAAAGGTATTTTGTAAAGAGTAAACGGAAAAAAAAAGAAATTAAATGATTACAAACGTATGAATCCTCCTAAAAAAGAAATAAATAAATAAAAACTGGACAAAGTTTATCATTTCTTAATTAAATGAAGAAACCAAAACAAAGACAAAAAGAAAGAAAATAATCGAAATCAATAATCATTATTCAAATTAATTTTGTTAAACATTTTATTACACTTTGGGCAGCTTTTTGTCTTGCCGAATTTCTTGTTAAATCTGTAGCTTTTACTGTTATATAACCATTACTATTAATTGAATTATTTATGATTGAATTCTCTTTCATAGGATTAATACCAACAAATAAGATAACTGTGTATTCACAATAATATTTAGTGTTGAATTCTTTTTCAGACTAAAATAAAGGGGAAAAAATACTAATTCTATTAAACATTCATCTATTTAAAGTAATGAGTAGTATTTGAAATAAATCAATGGACTAATTTACATAAATAAATAACAGGAAATAAACCATTTATTTGTAAACAAATAACTGATAGTATATCCTCTTTGTTTGTCCCCAAATGTTCTGGTATGATCGAGGTTGGGGAGAATCAACTATCCCTTTCAAAGTGCTCTCAAATGACCACGTGCATAAAACTGCTACTGGGGAAGTTTTACTCACTGCCTTCTCGCGACTGCAGTGTTGATTGCGAAATTGAGAGAACGAAAAGCGAATATCTGACTCTCTAACCTGGATGGTGGTGGGTACGGAGGACCCACCTAGGGGAGTCGGAAAACCTTGATTACAAACCAATGGGGCATATGAGCTCCAGGATCCTGAGGAAACAAATGGCGTATGAACCTATTGTTGGTCATCGTCTACTGTAGGACTGCATCTCCTGACGCTGCTGCATTGCCTTTTAGATCACACCTTTAGATTGGAGGCTCCGGACGTGGCCCTCTAAGAAAACCACCTGCTTCAGTCTAAGCACCCTGGCAGTATCCCAAATCGAATGATTTATGTGGCGAATATGTATTTGGCCGTCCAGTTCTCGCAGGTTTTCCATGGTGGTCTAGCTTCAATCGACTCATGACCACAACTCTTAGAATTACCATAATATCACAAAACCCCTTCCTAAAGAAAGACCGTGCATTGTATACTTATTATTTTACAGTAAGTCTTACGATGAAAATACGGAAAAATTTCACTAGACGTAAGAATCTTCAAATGCTGTTTATGGAGACGATGCAATGAGAAAACGTTTTCTGAAGTCTAACAACGATACCCTGGGGGATCTCTGACAGATAACATACTGTCACAAGCCAAGACGGGATATAAGTGGGGGATAGGCTACTGTGAGTTAGCGAATTACACACCAAGAACAAGCCACCACTTACACGTCCCTGTGTGGATCAGTTCTACAATTTCTAGGCATAGGCATGAGATACATGCACTAGCATTTGGTTTTTGAGGTAGTCTCCTAAGTTTGGCAACAGTTAGGAAGCTGGTATTTTCACTGTAGAGCATAACAATCAAACGTTTAGATGAGGGCTCTAAAAACTGTAACTTCAGAACAATTGCCGTTCCGTATGCTTTCCAATTGCCAGGATACAAAACTCGGGAATACCGTATGTGTAAACGATCCTAGCAAAATCCAAAACGGAGCGCTTGAAGAGCTTTATATCTGACAACTTTCAGGGGTGCTCTAAACAATCATGAATCACTATTTTTATCAGGCTATAAAAGTCATGAATAAACTTTGCATTTCTACTCCCAGAATTTGAAGCAATTTTTACTTTAAACAAAGTATTTTGATAGTCAACAAAAGTTACAACCGCATTATAGTACCTCTTATTAACTAATTTTAAGTATTATAAACCAAATATTAATAGAGTACAAAATTCAGTACAATAATCAAACTAAAAAGGTACCTTGCACACTATGCTTAATTTGGGTGGATATTCAATAAAATGACAAGGAACTAGCAGACGCCTACACAGAAACACCAGTTGGTCAGTTAAACTGGTAACTTGACTCGTATGATATTCATTCATTTTGTGTATTGAATTGTTGGGAGCGTGTTCTTGTAAACAATATTCAGCGACACGGGCCAAAAGTTGTAGTCTTATATTCGATTTAGAACGTGTACAATCAGTAATAATATCAGGCGATGTATTATCATAGATGCCATCGAACTTTCGATACCAGTGACTGCCTTCAGTGAAATCGACTTCTGAATGACTTCGTGCATAGGACCTCTGATTGGGTTTTGACTTTTTGGAATCTAAAATTATATGCATTTAATGAAATAAATTTAAATTACGATAATCTTATCTTTATAAAGCTGTATTACAATCGCCCGACCACTATCCACCTTGACAGATGATGTTTACTAGTAGAGGAAGAAAGCTATATGTGGCTAAACAAAAACGTGGAGTCAGTCTATGAAGACTGTTGGACTCGGCCATGTAGGTAGGTACAGCCTACCTCGTTCGAGTTCATGAAATTACCCTAAATAAAGTTAGAGACAACGAGTGACATTTCTCGGTATCAACCATAGTGATACAAATGTACTCTTTGTTTCTCCTTGGATCTTGGGTCCTAA